ACTTAAAAAGGGAATGTAACTTTTGTCCAAGCTGGAAAATGTCAACATGCGGTAGAGACTTCCTCTTCCATGTGCGCATGCCCATAATCGAAGTTGCAGGCTCTTCGTTTTTTTCTCCAGTTTTAGTGATTTAAAGTGACTGTTTTTTCTGTTTCAGTAGCGAGGTAATATGTTTATGTTGCTATTTCCACAATTAATGTGGACTTTTCAGCGTTTTTCTGCACAGTGGTAAAGTAAGGCCTGCTATATATCAGTATATGCTCTCTGGTTTCAAACACTGTGTGACAAGGTTGCTTTGGAGAACACGGTTCCCCTGTTTGCCACTTTGAAGAACTGTGAATCTCACGGAACTGATATGTCTTGACCAGAGAGATCATGTGACCCGAGCAGCATATTACAATATATAATATGGTGACCACCCAAATCAGCAACCTGACCACATGATACCCATAGTCTCCTCTTACGACAAGTATGGGTTGCTGAAGACATATTCCCACCCATATCTTCACTGGGTTCACTTTGGTGGTGGGTCAGTGTTGTAGCCTTGTGGTTAAAGTGTTCACTTGTCACGGTGAAGACATGGGTTTGATTCCTAACATGGGTACAATGTGTGAAGCCTGTTTCTGGTGTCCCCCATTTTGATATTGGTGGGGATTTGGAGTGAGAACTGATACCCATCAACTTATGTTGCTTGTAGAAGACAACTATGTGAATCAGGTCACACAGAGCGATCTTGGGCGGTGGGGTAGCCTAGTGGTTAAAGTGTTCACTTGTCATGGTGAAGACATGGGTTTGATTCCAAACATGGGTACAATGTGTGAAGTCTGTTTCTGGTGTCCCCCATTTTGATATTGGTGGGGATTTGGAGTGAGAACTGATACCCATCAACTTATGTTGCTTGTAGGAAGACAACTATGTGAATCAGGTCACACAGAGCGATCTTGGTGCTTGTAGGGGGTAGCCTAGTGGGTTAAAGTGTTCACTTGTCATGGTGAAGAAATGGTTATGGTTCCAAACATGGGTACAATGTGTGAAGCCTGTTTCTGGTGTCCCCCATTTTGATATTGGTGGGGATTCGGAGTGAGAACTGATACCCATCAACTTATGTTGCTTGTAGGAGACAACTATGTGAATCAGGTCACACAGAGCGATCTTGGGCGGTGGGGTAGCCTAGTGGTTAAAGTGTTCACTTGTCATGGTGAAGAAATGGTTATGGTTCCAAACATGGGTACAATGTGTGAAGTCTGTTTCTGGTGTCCCCCATTTTGATATTGGTGGGGATTTGGAGTGAGAACTGATACCCATCAACTTATGTTGCTTGTAGGAGACAACTATGTGAATCAGGTCACACAGAGCGATCTTGGGCGGTGGGGTAGCCTAGTGGTTAAAGTGTTCACTTGTCATGGTGAAGACATGGGTTTGATTCCAAACATGGGTACAATGTGTGAAGCCTGTTTCTGGTGTCCCCCATTTTGATATTGGTGGGGATTTGGAGTGAGAACTGATACCCATCAACTTATGTTGCTTGTAGAAGACAACTATGTGAATCAGGTCACACAGAGCGATCTTGGGCGGTGGGGTAGCCTAGTGGTTAAAGTGTTCACTCATCATGCTGAAGAAATGGTTATGGTTCCAAATATGGGTACAATGTGTGAAGTCTGTTTCTGGTGTCCCCCATTTTGATATTGTTGGAATATTGCTAAAAGCAGTGTAAAACCATACTCACTCACTTTGGTAGCTGCAGCGAACATGCCTGTTTTCAGTTTTGAGTCAAGTGTGGGTCAACCAGTGATTGAAAGCATGAACACCTATCCACATCATCCAGGCATGAGGTATCAGCGAAGATCCTGGGTTAGAATTGATCTTCAGTAACCCATGCTTGTCGTAAGAGGCGACTAACGGGATCGGGTGGTCAGGCTCGCTGACTTGGTTGACACATGTCATTGGTTCCCAGTTGTGCAGATCGATGCTCATGCTGTTGATCACTGGACTGTCTGGTCCAGACTCAATTATTTACAGACTGGATGTGGCATAAAACTAAACTCACTCACTCACTCCAGGCATGAGGACAAGCAGTTACCAGCCCTGACAACCTCTGTAGATTGCTTAATAACAAAATCCTGTAGGGATTCCAGGTTAGAATTTGTCCACATGATTGGGTGACCAGGCTTTTCATTGCACATCATAGCCAGGTAACATGATGTGTAGCTCATGACATCCACCACTGGGCGGACTCTTCCAGACTAAATTACTTATATACAGCTGGAATATTGCTGACAGAGGCATTAAACAACAAGGAGCCAAACTACAAACACAGAGTCCTCATGAAATGGGTAGTGAATAGAGACAGAAGATTAATACATGCAACTAGTAGAACATCTTGATGGTCGTTCAACATCCTGAGCAAGCTGTCCCAACTGGATTACCTGAAGCTCTTAAACAGCAGGCAAGTGAGCGAGTGAGTGGCTTGGTGTTTGAGTGAGTGAGTGAGTGGGTGGGTGGGTGGTTTGAGGTGGGTGTGAGTGAGTGAGTGAGGTTTGGTGGGTGGTGGTGAGTGAGTGGCTTGGTGTGTGAGTGGCTTGGTGGTGTGTGGTGGGTGGGTGGGTGAGTGAGTGAGTGAGTGAGTGAGTGAGTGAGTGAGTGAGTGAGTGAGTGAGTGAGTGGGTGGGTGGGTGGTTTGGTGGGTGAGTGAGTGAGTGGCTTGGTGAGTGAGTGAGTGAGTGAGTGAGTGAGTGAGTGAGTGATGAAGGTCTCAGACATGTACCACTTTCGTGAAACCGCCAAGCACAGGTACAATGCTGCTTGAACCATGATTCAGACCAACAAATGTAGGTTTCTGACTTGGACCTAATACTAAGGAAGCCAACATATCTGAGTGATTTGCAGCCCCTTAGACAACTGGGTCGCATGTTTCCCCATACAAGTAGAACCAAAGAAAATCCAAATTGTTTTGTTAGAAATCATCAGATTTGTAAACCATTTTCATCTCTCCAACTTTTCCAACTGAATATGAAGTAAGATGAGAAGGAGAAGAGTTGTAATTGTACTTCTGAATAAAATAATTGCTGAAGGGTGTTTTGTTTCCCAAAACAAATGATAAAATAATTGTCAGCAAAGAAGTTGTTTAACCCGAGTCATCAGTTGACTTGACAGTTTCTTGTAACAACATAAGGATATTAAAGATCATCAGAAACATTTCTTTCCAATGATTGGTAAACATTTGGTTGACATTACAGGATTGGTGGAGAAGATCAAACAACAACTGAGTATATTGCTATAGTCTGGATCTGTTCGTGAAAAGTGATATTCAAAAAACTTGGAAAAAGGTTTTTTTTAATTTTTATTTTATATTTTTGAAAATGTGGGCATGCAGGTACAGAAAGTGTATTAAAAGACACACTGCATCCAATACAATGGGAACAGGTCAAAAGGGCCGCATGACAAAAGGTCCCCAAAACGGAAAAGTCAAAAGGGCCACAAGAAAGTCAAAAGGGCCGCAAACCCCAAGTCAAAAGGGCCGCATCAAAAAGTCAAAAGGGCATAAGACCCCTAGTCAAAAGGGCCCCATATGAAAAATAATAACATCTTTTTTTAAACGTGTATTATAGTAAAAGGTTATATACATCTATACAATGTATACTTTATACATAATAGTTCAGTTTTTAATAGATATTTTTTTCAATATTTGAAAGAAAATGCTGACAAAGAATAGATGTATGTGATGGTTATTTATTTCATCCAAGTAACAACACACTTATCATTTATGACTATGACAAATACTTTGGCAGAGAAATAAACAATCTGTCTGTCTATATCAGCAAATGCCAAAATTAGGTGAGGTTTTCTTCACTTTATTGACTATGTGAAATCTTATTATATAATAGGACTAACAGAGACATGGCTTCACCAGTTTGACTTGTCAAATATTTTACAGATTTCAATATGCTATTAAATTGTTTTCAGGCAATCAGAAAGGTTGGTATGCAGGTGGTATTAAAGTTTTAGCTAGAAATTCTATTGAGAGATTTGTAACACCCTTAAATATGTCACATATATAGGTATGTTCTTAAACTTAATCAAGAAATATGTGCTATTTTCAGCTTGAGCATTTAATTGTTGAACACCTTGAATGTTTTACTTCAGATCCAGTTTTATTGATTATTGGTGATTTTAATGCAAGATCGGGTGATTTTCAGGACAGTATTCCTGATTTTGATGACAGTACAAGCAGTGATTTTGAATTTGCTAACACAGTTGTTACTCAACAACAGACAATATTTTTGTATTAAAGGCTCTTATTCAAAAACATATATCTAAATGGAAAGGTTGATTCTATGTAGCATGTATAGATTTCCGTAAAGCCTGCGACTCTTTTGATAGAAAATGTATAATTATATATCAGATAGGGTTATCGGGAAACATTTTCAGTGCTTTATGGACTATTTATGAAAAGAGTGAAAAATAAAGAAAAATCTAATGATTCTTTCTCAGAGGTATTTGAATCATCCATGGGACTACGTCATTGAGTTTTCAAACACTTCACTCACCTTACTGCCATGGTAGAGGGAAGTGATATCAAAAACAAGTCTGTCCAAGATTTTAAAGTCACATATTGACACTGAGTCAACTCAACTGACATATGTATTCCAATTGTAACAATGAAAACAATACTCTAAAATATTCTGACAGTATTCACTGAAGAGCAAAGAAATCTTAGGGATTAGTGACAGCTTACACGATTGTCAAAACACAAATATGGCATCAAAGGGATATGTGTTTTTGTGAAATATTTTAGTTTCTTACAGGTGTGTTGTGGTACTTGTATGCATTTCTCTGTATTTGTCATAATCATGCATGCTTAGATGAAATAAATAAACATCACATACATCTATTCTTTGTCAGCATTTTCTTTCAAATATTGAAAAAATATCTTATTAAAAAGTGAACTAGTATGTATAAAGTTACATTGTATAGATGTATAACCTTTTACTATAATACACTTTTTTTATATGGGGCCCTTCTGACTAGGGGTCTGAGGCCCTTTTGACTTTTTGTTGAGGCCCTTTTGACTTTTTGTTGGGGCCCTTTTGACTTTTTGATGCAGCCCTTTTGACTTTTTGATGCAGCCCTTTTGACTTTTTGTTGGGGCCCTTTTGACTTTTTGTTGGGGCCCTTTTGACTTTTTGATGCGTCCCTTTTGACTAGGGGTTTGCGGCCCTTTTGACTTTCTTGGGGCCCTTTTGACTTTTCTGTTTTGGGGCCCTTTTGTCATTCGGCCCTTTTGACTAGGACCCAATACAATCATATTGACTTGTTAAGTGCAGGATGTTTGTTGTATCACAATCAGCACAGTTGGAATTATGGTCAGTTTCATCAGGAGCAATGCAAATTTAAGATTACATAAATTATTTTTATGTCATGACATACATATATAGAACGTCATACTAGTGCATTTGGATGTTCGAAGAACGAGTTGTTTCTCAGGAAGTTTACATGGGTATATAATACATAATAATCTACAGCTGGCTATTCTTTACAAATATTTGTCTCCAAAGGCTCCGCTTTGAAGAAATTGATGCTGCAAATTCTGTTTGAAAGTCAGTTTGATAAACAATAAAAAATGGCGCCATTGATTCGACAATTTTCTGGAGAGGATTTGTGATTAGATCCCGCTGTGAAAATGTGAAAACGTCAACAGAAATGGGATCAATGGAATACAAAACATGGATGAGAGAAATGACGCTTGATAAAATAGGGTTGATTATGATGACTATACAACTATGCTAAACTATACAACACGGTCACTTGGGGCATCCGAAAAGGAACTCCCATACCACTTTGGCGTTTACAGCTGGCATTTCTCTCAAAGGAATTCATTAAGATTTCAGACTTACGTCTAAAACTAGGATTTTCATGGCAGGAATACAGCTATAACCGACTTTCGGAACTTCCGTCAGAGTAAGCATCGTCTTACAATTTCCTTTCGCTTCATTACGACACATGCCTGATCGGAACAAACGTCCAATGGGGCGTTTTATGTGATTGTGCCAGGAAAATCAGCCCACCATGTTTATATTGAATTATAGACATGCAAAAAGTTACACTTGTCATGGAGTTGATTTCTTCCTGAGCTACAGGGAAGAGTAAACTATAGGAGTTAAAGGTGATTGTGTGACATTATCCTAAGATGAAGCCGACTTTCTTTCAGAAGATGAATGGTAGAGATCCAGCTTTGAAGTCCAACTGTTTTATTCTCACCAGTTGAAACTGAATAGTTTCACAGATAACACAAATTGGAGATAGTTTTTCTATAAATGTAGACTTGTGTTGACGTTGTTTGTAATTAACGATTTCTTGCTTTTATCCTGGAACACTTAAAGTAGTGTGAAGGTCATTTTCAAAACACTCATGATTAAAAGGAAATTCACAGCAAAAATATGGATGTGATGTTTTGTTTGTAATTCCCTTTGGGAACCACTTTGTACAGCTCTTTCTGTCAATTACTGAGACCACTTTTCTTCACCATTAAGACTTCAGCTGCCTTAACATTTAGTCTCTGGATCTATATATAACATAACAAATAAACTCATATAAATTGAAAAGGTCCCCTAGTGAGTTGGGGGAATTAGAACCTGGGGAAATCTAGACTTGCTTCATTTAGGGCTTTAGCATTGCAGGGAGGGCTAGGTAGTAGGGAAAATAATGTGGTTCAGCGACTGTGAGACATAATTTGGATACGATGACATGTGTCAACTAAGTCCACGAGCCTGACCACCCGATCCCGTTAGTCACCTCTTACGACAAGCATGGGTTGCCGGAGACCAGTTCTAACCCGGATCTTCATTGGTCGACTACCACTATACAACCAGCTTAGGTTTGAACCAGGACAATAAGTGACACACACCACTGTATTGTGCAATAGTGCTGAACATGATATCACACCCCATTTCTAATCAGTGAATCACTGTCCCTAAAGTGCTTTAGCTACACTACATTGAGAACTTCAATCATAACAAGAGCTACTTTTGTATAAGAGACAGGAATGCCCTGATGACTTCAGTTATTTACAAAATATTTTTCTTTGTAAAACATATACCAGTATATGACATAAGGCCCGTCCGACTGCCCCAGACGGGCTAGATTTCTGATGGACGGTCTAAATTTGCAGCTAGCCAGTCCGATGGTCTGGTAGAAAATTTAGATGTTCCATACATCTGAGTAAATTCACAATATCTTGGTGTCTGGTCTGGTTAAATCCATTTTGGGCTGGTAACATTTTTAAGTTACTATCCCTGATGTCTGGCTGGTTTTTGGATTATTTCATGCACTGCATATACCATGTTTTAGAAACTGCATCAGACAACTCGGGCTTGGTATAATAACAGGTGGCTAGCATTTTCTGTAACAACTAATATTATATCACTACTTGACCCTTCTTATGAAGACGGGCACCATAACAAAGACACCTTTAACCTAATTAGACATATACAGTTCAAGTAGATCAATATTTTATCCGAACAGTCTTCTCTTCCAGTGCAGAGATGAATTAAGCTAAGCACCACTTGAACTGTTTTATCAGGCTAATTTCTCATACTTCTCACATAAAAAATAAAATCTGCCAATTTTCATAAGATCAATTTGCTTATTTATTTCCTTTCATCTTAAAATATATTCCTGTTGTATTTCCTGTAAGAGGTAGTAAACACTAAAACAAACATACGCAACAATTGAAAAAAATCCATTTAACCATAAGGAAAGAGATTCCTTGATTGTTTGGTGCTTTGCAAATTATACAGATTATCTCCTTTCACAGGTACTAACTGTACTCCTGTGTGATGTACAATGGCTGCAGGTAGCAGACGGCTACAAGAGAGAGCTAACACTGAGGCAAGGTACAGACTTATCTGCAGGTAGCTTGGCTACAATGGCTACAAGAGAGAGCTAACACTGAGGCAAGGTACTGACTGTACTCCTGTGTGATGTACAATGGCTGCAGGTAGCAGACGGCTACAAGAGAGAGCAAACACTGAGGCAAGGTACTGACTGTACTCCTGTGTGATGTACAATGGCTGCAGGTAGCAGACGGCTACAAGAGAGAGCTAACACTGAGGCAAGGTACTGACTGTACTCCTGGGTGATGTACAATGGCTGCAGGTAGCAGATGGCTACAAGAGAGAGCTAACACTGAGGCAAGGTACTGACTGTACTCCTGTGTGATGTACAATGGCTTGCAATGGCTTGCAGGCTGCAGCAGACGGCTACAAGAGAGCTAACACTGAGAGAGCTGAGAACTCTTGTGTGTTGTACAATGGCTTGCAGATGGCAAACGGCTACAAGAGAGAGCTAAGAATGTCCAGGCACCAAGTCTCATGACACAGCTGCTGCGGAACTGTAGTGTCCAAACAAATGTCCACCTCTTAGTTATAATTAGCCAAACCATGACCTTGATGTCAACCATGATTGACAACTGAGATTATTATTTGATTAATGTGAGAGTCATATCATGTTATTTCATCTGTACATCATGAAGTGAGCCACATTTAATCATAGGGTTATATTCAATGAACTTTATTTTCATCTGGTATGACAGCAATAAATCTGAATTGAAACTAAGGCCATTGAAAGAGTCGTTGATGCAATGTTTAACTTCACTCGTCTCACCATTGCAAAGTGAGTGATGATATTTTCACCCACACAGTTCAGAAACGATGCCTCAGTCAGTGCAAGTTAAATTTTTATGTCTTACTTTTAAAATTCGCTTTATGTGAAAAGATAAATCAATTTTCAAATGAACCAAAATTTCTAAAAACACATGTAGTGGATATGTGTAGGATAAATATTTTAGATTGTCTACTTGACGACAAATGACATAAATCGATAGACACTGGAACATGAATTACATTAAAATGATATACGCAAATCAAAAAGCATGGAGTCATATGTTGTTGAGTTTTTGGTTGCTTTCTTGTATGATGCTTTACTCAGCAATACTCCAGATATATATGGCAGTGATCTGTAAATAATCAAGTCTGGACCAGAAAATCTAGAGATCAACAGCAAGAGCATCGATCTATAAATTTGGATACGATGAGATGTGTCAACCAAGTCAGCGACCTGACCATCCGATCCTGTCAGTCGCCTTTTACGACAAGCGTGGGTTGCTGAAGATCAATTCTAACCCGGATCTTCACGTGTTGGAGTCATGTGTGACTGAAGCTGACCTTGAGACAGCGAAAATTGAAACATTTCATCCTTGAAGAGAACCCACAAAAACATTAATTCTTTGGTAAGCTTTGGTTTACCATACTATGCATATGTCAACTCGTATATGTGTGTCAGGGAACTAGCTTGGAATTAACATGAAGTGTATGCTGATGAAGACGAGGGCATAGTTGAGTGTAAACTTCTCTAGTTGGTTACAAAAGACATGGCAAACAAGTAGACAAGACAGAAATGAGCTCGGTTGCCAGCTCAGACATAAATGAGGTGAGCGGAGTTCCTGCTCAACCCTAGGGCATTTCCTACGAGCAGCATTATCCTGCTCACGGTCGTCCCTACAGACAGTCGGAATACTGGACTGCTTGACAATATGGATGTGAGCATATATACAGTTTTTGACAACAATGGACAGGCGAAGACTCAACAATGGACCGACAGGGAAACAATATCACTTCCTGGACCAGTTGATGTGATGGAAGACACGGCCAAGGGGTTGACCAATTAAGGCTATGAATGTCATAAACAGTACTTAATGAAAGTGACAGAGTGGTACAGGGTGTCTGACAAGACAATGTAGACTGCGGTAGTGATAAGGATTAACAGTGCAGATTAAATGATTACAATTAGGTCTCGCATGGCTTGGCTACATACTTTTTGGTCTTTAGAAATATTTGTCCGATGACTGTCCTGAATTAGATACTATAACACACAGATAAGCATTCTCAGAGGGACAAACAGAAGCCAGGGATTACTCCAGGCATCAAGTGACAATGGTGACACTTAACAACATCGATTAACTACTGTCTTCCCTTGTTGTAATCACTTTTGTTGTTTCACATGTACATACATAT